ACTACTCGCCACTCTGTGTACCCCCCCCCCCCCCCCCCCGCAGTCCTTACTTACGCCCCGCAGTCCCTGCCCACACACTGCAGTCTTCGGATACCCCCTATAGTCCCTCGTGCAATCCTGGCCGTCCAGCCATCTCCCATGCCGTCCACCCAAGCAGCTACTTTCCCGTTTGCCTCACTATCCTAATAAACGACAGGCGTGTAGGACCCGGCAGTCCCCCGAGCAATTTGCCCCACATAGGACCACGGCCAGCGGCCCCGTCCGGTCTGGTCTTCTTGGCATTATCCCCGCCGTCCCTATAGGGCCCCTAGACGGTTCGGAACACTGGGGCCTCTTTCGAAATCACCTCCCCTGGGTCCAGTAAAAGTAAAGCGGTTGTGTTGCCTGAATAACTTTGACTGTGGTAAAAGATACCACTATTCAAGGTGAGTGATATTATGCATTAGATGACATACGGAGTCGGAGCAAATGACTACTCGAGTATAGAGTTACTCATTCGTTAATTTTGTTTAAGCTTACAGGCGAATTCATTGCAAGTTGGAGCTTGTGTAGGTGATAGGAAGCTTAATACTGGATTGAGTCAGTCCTTGTGTCCTAGAAACAAGCTCGGATCATACAGCTGGGATGAGAAAATCACCAAACTGGACCGTCAAACTATAGGAGATAAATTATAATTTTTTTACAGAAACTAAGCAGAAAAAAAAAGAGAAAAAGACCCCCCCTCCAACCCACCCACCAATCCGCCCACCAACCCGTCCTCTGACCCACAAATCTACCCTCCCACCCTCCCCCCCCCCAACGCCCCCTTCCCCATCCCCAGCGAACCCACCACCTCCCCACCCTCTCTCAGGCAGCCCCTAGGGCAAGCCCAGCAGCCCCGAAACCTGCTCGGACTAGCCCCGGGACTACCCTCAATCGGGAGAGGCGGCGATGGGTTCGCCGCTTCCGCTCCCTCAGCCTGTTCCTGAAGGACCTGCACCACCTCCTCGAGGCCCTCTGCTTCCCCCTGAAGAAACAACTCAAAAATGCACAGCGGTGAAGTGAAAAAATGAGCGCGGATGAGAGGTGAAAAATGGGAAGATAGAAGTGGTGGAAACGGTGATCAATGATCCATCTAGCTAAGGACTGACTAAGAGATATATAGCTCCAAAGCACCAACAACCATGGAAACACAATGAACTCAAATGAAAAACACACTATCCTAACTCATCATGATCCTCCGCAACCTCCGGCAATCTAGAACGATCCTAAACCAAACTACCTTATGCCTAATGGCATAGGGTGTGAAAGAAACACACAAAACTACCAAAAAGACCCATATCCTATGCCAACCGGCATAGGATGTGAAAGAAACAAAAAATACTACCCTCTGCCTCTGCACTGCACACCACAAAACATAGGCCTGATAACCGCATATCTGTCTAACTGCATATCCGTCTAACCCCATGCCCTATAGGCAATCCAACACCCCCAGCACTCCTCTGCCTCCCCCGCCCCACTCGTCTACCTGCCCCTGGCGAAGGGAGTTTTGGTACTATCATACCGAAGGAGCACTTACGAGGTCAGGGGCCCCCAGGAGGAAGAGGGCCCGCATGACGAGGCCCACACGGCCAGCTATGAGATGTATTACCAAGTTAGTAGGCTAAATACGTCAAAAATTCTGGTTGACTCAAGTCAAGCCCAGCCACTGTCTCAAGCCGGCCCGACTCAACGGCACATGGACTCGAGCTGCTCGAGATTTCATGCAGGGCTCAAGGCCCGGGAATCAAGGCGTGAGCCAACTTGAGCCTATTTTGTTAGCGGTCACTTGCGATCACCTGCTAAAACGAGCGATATGGAGATCCATATTGTGAACTTAAGCAGAGGATATGTTCCAAATATTAAGTGCGTGGAAACAAAATCTTCAAATTCTGCTGGAAACATTAGTTTTCCGCTTAGCCAGCCCTCCTAGCCTGTGTAGATCAACCGAGGGTAGTATGTTTATAGAAAATCTAATTAGCTTCCTCTACTTAGGATTCCTCACAGTGTTTGCAAGCGGCCAGGCCGGCCCGCAGATAGCCTACAGATACACACCCAGGCCAGGCAAGGTCAAAGTAAAACTGACCTGGGCCTCGTAGGTCGGGAATTCGCAAACCTGCGGCATTGTGGGTGTCTATGCCGGCAGGCTTTCAGTATGTGAGGTGCAGTTAGTGACTATTTTTGTCAATCCGTAGCAGATACCTGAAGACACCCAAAGATATCTGATAATACCCACAGACATCTATAGATATTAGCGGGTGTCCTCCTTCACAATGCAATATCTGAAATTATCTTCCACTGGATTAGGCCTAGGAAAGCATTGGAGGCAATTTCATATCTCTCGGTATATTCCTAAATTGTACGGTAGATAAATCGCTTGCCCGCCAGCGACCACTTGACCACCAGATTTCATCTTCTACCACTTCAGCACCATCATGAAATTCAAATTCTCCTAGAAACCTTCATCCTACCTATTTTGCGACCCGAATTATTTATTTTCTGATTACCCTAACGATCCGGTTGAATACAACTACTCAAGCGACAGTATAAGCTTAAATTCCGGTTCCAAATTCGTATTTGCAACCCCAGAGCCCCTCAAAACAGACTAGCTAGTTTGGTATAGATTGATATGGCGTGTTTAGTGAGAACCCCAACTCCAGAAGATAATATATAATTCAAACCCATCAGAGATTATTGGTGAGATATCATAACATATCGCCAATTCTAGTATTGTACGTGCAGAGACTGTTGACGTATATCATACACCAGTTCCGTTTAATCCATGTTATTGGAACCCTGAAACCTACCGGTACAGGGGCAATCACCTTCGATCACTCGGAGCCCTGCAGATATCTGTGTTGAAACATGCTTCTGACACTACCAGTAACGGGTATTGTGGTATCATACAGACTATTACTTTTTCTCCTTACACCAATTCCTATCCCAGGCACACATCTAGGCCTCCGGTACTATTGAAGATACCTCCTTGCATTTCTATTTACTTTTCTTTCCTCTGCTATTGTTACTGTTCGCTCAACCCAATTGTCTCGCTCACAATAGTAGATAGTAAGAGCTTCTCGCTCTTCCTTTCTAGAAAATCAAGTATTCATCGTTCTCTATCACACAATCTTCTTTGCCGTGCAAAACACTCCTCACAATACTTTCACAATAATCTGCAGTCCCGCCGGGCCCAGCCAGATAAGCCCCCGAAGCTGGACTGCAGCTGGCGGTCCTGCCAGGCCAGCTCCCGAAAAAGCCCAGGCCGGCCGGGTCAGGCCCAGCCTAACCGGACCGGCCTCTTACGAACCACTCATTCCTCATTGCTATCTAACCTACACCAAATTTAGGATGAAAGTGGGAACTGTACTAGGCACCCTGCTCCAAGTTAGGCCAACAGAGGCAGTGTTCCCAACCGTCCAGCCCGTCCGTCTTCGGGGGAGGGCGGGACGGACTATGGACGGACTACAGGGGACTACGGTCCTACTGTCTAATATCCTAGGGACAAAACGATAGCCCCCCGCAGTCCCCTACAGTCCCTTACCGTCCCTGGTGATCCCCCGGCGTCCCCCCTTGCGAATCCTGTTTCACCCTGTAGGGCCCGCCGTCCTCTACTTTCACCGCCCGGGACGGACTGCACATGGCCGTCCCGGATGGTTGGGAACAATGAACAGATAAGAGAAGTCCAGGAGTGAGAACTTGTGAAGAGAAGGAATCAGTACCACCGAGAGGTTTTGGGTGGGGACGCCAATAGAGGAGGGATGATAGCAAAAATAATAGGCAATGAAATGACACCGGAGTTGACCAAGATGGAGGAGAATAAAATCAGGAAAGGGTGTAAGAGAAGACAAGGGGATAGGAAGTAGTGAACAAGTTTTCTGATTGGTATCTCAGCGAGGCGGCCCTTGCAGCATTGATATAAAGTAGACCTGTAACTACCCATTTAGAGAGGCTTGGAGTCAGACAATAGTAATTTTGTTTTCCGCATGGTAATAGTAGGTTGACGAGCTCATCATTTTCACCTATTCGCACCATACCTAGTACACTATTTAACCATTCATGTCCCTGCAGAACGCCTGACCGGTACACTTTGATGGTGTGATAATCCCCATAGTAGAGTGTTGTAGTGTTGAGGGCCCAGTCATAGCAGAGCACAGGAACACAGGTGTGTGTGAAGACACTTACAGGAAATGTATCAACGGAGGTATACATGTGTGTGGCACTTGAGGGTGCAGAGGAGTGTAAGGGTTTATCCTCATGTGGTGTCTCCTATTATACCTATGTATTATCATAGATAGTTAGCAACATCTCATCCGAAGAACAACACACTTCTCTCCACCCCGGATCCTACCGAAAATTGGGCACTTCCCCCACCACCACTACACCTGAGCCCCTGTAAAGCTACCCAGAAATTGAATATAAAAGTTGAGGATAATCACTGACAATATCAAATTGTGATAGCATGAGACTCCTACAAGAATGATATGTATCAGGTAGTGGTGGATAGTATGAGGGAAGGTGGCTTGGTATAGATGATGCATAAACTCAGTGATTCGTATAAATTAAGACTCGTGGATCCCTTATAAGGAAAATAACGCCATCTCCTATCAAAATCAATAAATAAGTTCCGTCTTCTCAGACAGTTACCCCATCTCTATGCCAATACACCCGCACCCCATTGTCTCAGATTTCGCTCTGGGAGATTCTTTGTTGTCCTGAATCATATCTCAAGATTTCTTAAGGAGACGTAGAAATAAACCCCAATTACCCTGATTCTGCCGGTTTTCAGATCGGATGAGAATCCAAGAACCTCCACTTCCTGCCACATAGAATGTGTATTCGGGATCCAGGTCTCCCCTGCTGTTCTCGTCCAAAACGCAACATTTCAGCTATTCAAAGGAATGGTTGATACCACAAGTGGGCCATCAGGGCTACTTGGATACAGTTCACGTTGCACAATCTTGGAAAGTGTCAATTTCGGATATTTTTGTCATATAAAGCAGAGGTTTGAATTTTCCCGGAGCTGATAGCCTGAGCTGTAGTGATGCAATGCCCTTTTGCTTCATATTAGAGATGTACTAGCAGCATATCTAAGACTAGAAACATTGTTTATTAAAGGTTTAAGGTCACCGCTCACTCCTTTGGTTTGCATCTCTGCACCTTGATTAGATCTTATATAAATGCAATAGCTGCAGCCTGCAGGTTGTCGCTTCTCAATTGTCGCTAAACCTGCGTTCCCTCTTCTTTTTTTTTTTTTCAAAAGAAGACTCAGTTCAGTATATCACCCCTCTCCCAGATGCTTCGTTGCCTAGGATAACCCCTTCTTTCTTGACCATTCGGCGGCCCAACCAGGTAAGGCTGTAACTTACCCCCTGCCAATAGAACACAAGGAGAGCCCCTCAGGAAATAAAAACAAGAAAAAAGTAAATATCAACCATGTTTCTAAATGCATGCAATGAATGCAAAAAAGAAGTGCAGAAACCCAACCACAATAGCTACCGTCATTCTCCCACCAAGGGCGGTGGAACACACCCGACTATGGTTTATGAGATGCTCTCGACTACCCGAGCAACTCGCGTAACTTGGGTGGTTGCAACGCTGCAGCTAGATCGAAGACGAATCCACATTCGAAATTCCTCCCCACCTCCTCTATAAGCTCCTCCCTGTCAGATGCCCCCCTTTCCTTGAGGGCTGTTATCACCTCCCCGAGAGTTTCCATCTCTTGCCGAAGAGCTGCCATCGCAATGCCTAGGCCTCCGTTAGGCGGGGCCGTAGACGGGGCCGTAGACAAGGCCGTAGACGGGACCGTAGACATAGCCGTAGACGGGGCCGCAGACATGGCCGTAGACGGGCCGTAGACATGGCCGTAGACGGGGCCGTAGACAGGGCCGTAGACGGGGCCGCGGACAGAGCCGTAGACGGGGCCGCGGACAGAGCCGTAGACGGGGCCACGGACAGGGCTGTAGACGGGGCCGCAGACAGGGCTGTAGACGGTGCCGGCTTGGGAACAGGGCTCTGATGGGGTATGAGAGCACAGACCCCCAACAGCGGCCAGACAGCCTAGAATTAGTGCGAATGATTCTGAGTGCCCGAACATAAAACCTGAAAGTACAATAGCACCCAGTCAGTACGAGGGGCACGCCAGAACACTTGGGTAGTTCAAACAAACCGAAAATCGACCCGGGTACTGTGTATTCTGGATGTGCGAATGTAAAGACACGAGTTGTGGATGATCCGGATACTCCGGCAAGGCAGCCCAGAACGTATCGATGTTTAAGCACTCGAGCTCTTGCGGTGGCATTAAGGGTTAGCTGGCCCGAAGAGCATCATCAGGAATAGTCGGAGTGGTAAGAGTGGTAAGAGTGGGGTGCCTCTCTCTATGCTCGCTAATCCTCTTTCGCTCACCCTCACCGCCGCTAATCCTAGTTGCCCCATTCTAACCCCGTAGCGAACAGCCTTATTCATAATTACCACGAGCATTCGAGCGACAGCAATTGCGGTAATTCCCTCCATTCCGGCAAGAACGCCACAGCTGGGTATATAGCAATAGAGGTACTTGCACCGGTGCGGAAGTATCTCTATTGACTTCCCGGATTGGATGGTGTCCTCGACCGAGCTGGCACCTGCACGAATAACGTTTTTTGTGACCACCCGATATGCCGTCAAATAAGGTATAGGGATTTCGCTGGAAAAGAGGGTAAGTATGGGGACGAAGACGGAAGAAATCGAACTCAGTTTTGACAGAAAAGAAACGCCGTATGAAACTCCTCCACCTGCCAAGGCTCATCGCAGACAGGAAATTCTAGACGGCAAAAACCCGACAAAACATGACCCCACCACACCGGTAAATTTACCTCGTTGTCCCGGATGGCCCAAATTAAGCTCTATATTATCACACCAGGCGGTCCCAAAAACAGTCGGGACAGTTGGAACGGGAAAATCCCTTTAAAGAGGGTAAGGGCAAAGGCCCGAGAAATGAAAGTCACTAATATTGAAAAGAGCAAAATGCCCTCTGGGACTAGGGCAAGATAAGGTAGAATTTAAGAAAACAAAGAACAATTGTACAATTAGAAGATTCCCTCTCTGATAATCATGAGACTGTGTGGTAACTTCACACACAGATGAATACTTGTACGTATAGTCTCCAGGATAATTACACATGCGCGACGGAGAAATAGCCCACTAAATCTTTGAAAATAATTGAAAATCGGATCATATTACAGAGGTATCATACGGCACCTAAGTCTCGTATATTCCACCAGCAAACGGTGCCCGGCTAGTATAGGTAACTTTCAACGAAAAAAAAACTACCCAATCTACCCGCTCTACCTATACAACTCCACGAGTAGCCGAAACTTAGGTGCTGTGCCTCCATACAATTGAGCAGCCACAACTAGCCACCATTCCCGGTAGGGTCCAAACGAGGGGCAGCAGGAAAAAAACAAGACATGAGGAATGTGCTGAGAATTGCACTGACTGGGCTGGACTCTGTAGAGCACTTCTTTCCCACGGCAGAGCCAACCTCAGCTTGCAGTCCGCAAACCTATCATATGAGAGCAAAAATCCCAATATCCCTCCACAAGCTAAATATGTCCCCTAATAGGAATAAACCGCGGGATCCGGAGAAGGTATGGGTTGGGGACCCTGCTTGCAAGGGTGATTCGGAGGATGATAAATAGGAAGAGAAACACCTAACCAATCATCTAAATTGCCGTAACATTTTCCAGATCCACTAAAATATGTAAGAAAACAGAAATTTGTTGATATTGTAAGTCTTTCCATCATATAGAATTCTTGCTAGGGGAAATTCCCAGAGAAGGCGCCGTTGAAATGACCCTAGTCAGTATGGGAATGTTGGCCGGAATGGGAACCCCAATCCAGGAAAAATATGTCCCGGAAACCGGGATAGAATGCCAGAAGTATAAAATAACGATGGATGTGTCCTACTAGGGAGCGTGTATATAGCCAGTTATGATATTAACATGAGATGCTATGGTTAACTTCGGATTTCAAATTGTGTCCAGGGGAGAGGCGAGTGACGATCTGTGAATACGGTATAGTCCCGTAAGATGGGTCAATTATTCAGTACGGAGGTACAGTGCATAAGTTTTGTAGGTTCCATGAACAGGGGTGTGTTACTAGCATGGGTTCAGGATACCAAATCAGGTATAGCAGACAAGAGCCGGTTATGAACTGCAACTCAAACAAAAGCCATAACAGGCCTGCTGGTAGGAAATATTTTGTATTCATAATCTATACAAGTATGATATACAAGTATATATAATATTTTGTAAAGAGGCCATTGGCATCTATAATAGCCTGACATCTAGCTGGCATGTTTTCAACCAGCTCTCTGAATTCATGCTCTCCAACAGTTCCTCAAGCTTCCTTAACTGCATTTCTCAATTTTTCATAGGATATATTTTCTGGAAAATTATCCTGAAGATAATTTTTCATAATATGCCATAACCTTTCAATTAGGTTTAAGTCAGGTGAGAAAGCAGGCTAGAAGATAACCTCAATACCTCTTTCCTAAAGCTCAGTCCTTATACCTCCTACAGCATGCTCAAGTGTACCATCTTATATAAGTTCAGGCTTTTAGGTAAATCCCATCATGGCAATACAATTCAATGTATCTATAAATTATGGGAACAGTGTGTGTGCAGTAGCTTTCTGCATTGATAAATCCTCAATCCTTTTCTCAAAATATACCAAGACCTTGCATATTCCTATAAAAACAGCCCCAAAACATCTAGCTCTAGCTTTTTTTGATACTTTTCTACTATATATGTCAGGTCCCACTCTTTACCAGGCCTCCTTGTAATCCAAGTTCTGGTACTATGTCTTCCACCAATAATCCATGTCTTATCAGTCTAAAGGATAGAACTCTACTACTGCTATGTCTAATTTGCATACTCATGTGTCCACCAAAGTTATATTTGTTGATTTCTTGCTGAGATTAGTGGGTTTCTTATTGCAAGACATTGGTAAAAACCTTTCTTTATCAAAGCATTCCAGATATCTTTATTCCCCATACCTGAATCCAACTCTCAGGCCTCACCCAGTTGCTGATATGAGAGGCATCTATTCCTGGATAACATGCAGATAGATGCAATTCAGTCTTCAATTTGTGCTTGGATAAGGATAGGTGGTCAACCAGGTCGCTTAGTTGAAGTAGCTAGGTAAGCAGGAGAGCAAGCATATCCAATCTACTGCAGGAAGAATTGAGTCTTTTCCTAAATTTGTATGTACTTTCAGCTAATGGAGTGGAGAAGCCTGCAATCACTGGCACATCACTAATTGCAAGTGAGGTGGAAAGTCCTTGTACATGGTATGAGTGTAGAGGTAAGGTCAGAAGTACTTATACATACTAGTAGTATAGTGACAAGATCAGAGGTACTTGTACATAGTATGATACTACTGGCAGGCTGAGATTTGAAGTACTCATATGTTGTATGCCAGTGGGTCCAGGAGTGAGGTCAGAAGTTCTTGGTGTCCATGGTATAGGGGTGAGGTCAGAACTTGAAGTCCTCATACAAGGTATAGGAGTAACTGACATCTTACTAGTAGTCTAGCAAGAAGGAGGATGGTTTAGTAGGAAGCAAAATAGTCATCCAAGGAGCAGAACAGAATTCTGTATATTGATCCAAGTCAGTAGTGTCTTGTTAGATAATAAGGAAAAGATCTGTTAAATAAACCTTCCTTGGATAAAAACTTCATGAAATAAAATTTCACCCTTTTGGTCTGCCAAGCAACCACCCAACTCCTCTCAACCCTGGCTAGTAGCACACCCCTGCTGGTGGAACCTACAAAACTTATGCCCTGTACCTCTCTATAGGGGTAACCAATAGCATTCAACCCCTTACCCCGCCAAAGCCCCAATTACTGTTAATCATTCTACAAACCTATAGCACCCCTTTATAAAAATATTGGACATGAATAGTTAGTTATCTCAAGTTTAAGGTACGACAGTGTCGCTGTTAGGTTAAGATATTGATATACGATTGCACGAAAGGAGACGGCAAATCTTCGGGTAGGGAGATGCTATCCAGAACTTGTTCGCTCTCTTCCCCACGTTTAAGCAGTTATAGTAGCATGAGGTTTTATTCCCCCATATCTCTAACAATAAGTATAGGGGGTAAGGTAGATAGACAAACAGAGCAGCATAGATAGAATTCAAGAACGCCATACCAGCTCTCTCCCCCCAGCCCCCCAACAGCGACATATCCGGACCCCCACTACCAATCATATTAGAAGCTAACTTACCTCCCTCCCAAGCATTCTACCCAGCAAAGACTAATAATGTAATTCTAGGAAAACTTTCCTCTCTTCATAATAACAAGCCATCGGCAGACGTGGCCCGTAAATGGAAGCTAACCGGGGGTGTCTCGTTCCCTGATGTGGTTGTAATTCAACAAACTAGACAACACCATAAAAGTCTACACTCCCCGGAATCCCAAAATATCTCATAAATTGACCATTCAGGTCTCTGGTATCCGACCCCATCAATCAATGTCGCCGATACCCATAATTGGCTCTCCCCTCACCGTATTGCCATTTTTCAGTTGCCCAAAGACCCCCAATTTTCAGATCTATCTAAATCACTCACCTTAAATAACAGAGGCGGCAACAAACGTTCCCACGAGTGAGAAACCATGAATACAGAGCGAAAGTCTACAACCAACAACCGCCGCGCTCCAAAACTCGATTAGCTGAAGAATATAGCCCATTCACCAGCGACAAGCCTTAGGCTCAACCGATGAATCACATCAAGTTTGCGAGATACCACTAAGAATTCCAAGCGCCTCACCAGCTGTGCACTAGCATTTTTAAGTTTGGGGACAGTCTGCATAATATATGAGCAGTCCTTAATATGATGATGCGTCCTACGATTGGTTAATTGAGCTGATAAAAGAGGATGTACTCGAGTACTGTACCAGTCATCTTAGCTCCACTGGAGCAGATAACAAGTCTATGCACAATTAGGTCCACCCAGCCAGAAGTAACAATCGCAAAGAGCACAGCAAACTCCAGGAAGGATATCACCAATTCCACTCTTGGCCGCCAAAGGATACACACCGTATAAACAGTCCACGGGCCGCTACTCGCGACACCGACCCTGATAAACTGAACCGCCTTAAACCCACCGGCCCGGTTCCCACTGTCGGCCAGTTTCTAAATTCACGCCTATGCACCCGCCGACATCATGAAAACTATGATACAATTACGGTCTATAGAAACAACCATGCAGATTAGAGCAAGTCGCGAGCGGAACTCTTCCATCAAATTCAAAACAAAATG